CCCTTTTGATTTGGTCAAATCCCACGACTACAGCCCTCATCTCAGTGGTTGTCATCATATAATGACTGAGAGCATTGACATGTTTATTTTCAACTCCCTCCTTTTGTCTAAGAGTATAAGTGTACTCCTGAAGGAATTCGACCCATCTACCGTGACATGCGTTCAACTCTTTTTGGGAGTTGATATAACGCAGAGCCTCGTGATCTAAGAAAATACGGACTCTTGCGGGAGCAAGTAGTGTCGCCAATAACGAAGGGATTGTATCACAGCATATAACTCCTTGTCATACGTGGAATATCGCAGTTGAATGTCATTTAGCTTTTCAATGAAATAAGCTACAGGGTGACCTTCCTGTGATAGGACTTCTCCAATTCCAACCCCCAAAGTGTCACACAGGTCATTTCGAAGACTTTTGAGAAATCAGGAAGTCTCATCATTGAGACTTCCATCATATTTTTCTTAGGGGCTGTTTGGTTGCCTAAATTAGGAGGGTAAAGTAAAACAATTACATGCATTTATTAAATTGGGTTGTTTGGTTAATTTTGAGTGGAAGAAAAGAAAAGCCTCCAAAGCATTAGCCATGTATTAGGAGGCTTGTTTCGTGCGAAATAGAAACTCGCTCATATTGAGCGGGTTATAAATTCTCTAGATGAAATCTGTCCCAACGTCATTGCTGTTCAGCTTCATTGCTTCGCAGGAGGTGTAAGATTGCACGAGTGGCTTCTTCGGCTCATTCTTTCTAGTTCGACTTTGCTCCTTCGACGACATTCCCTTTGCCCATCGGATCGGAAGTTGCGACATTTTCATCGGAAGTAAGTTTGGGAGCTCACAAGTTCTGAAGGTAACTTTCTCTCTTTCGCACGCTTCTTCGGCCAAATCCCGTCAATTCTTCGAACTACATGATTTGGTAAAAAATCCATATTTTTTCCTCGATGAGATATTGCGCTTTCACCATCTTCTTGATGCGCACCACAATCAATCTCTTCAGCTCCAATGGCTCATCTGTAAGGTTTGCTCAAGAAAGCATTCGAGCTCTCTGTTCTTTGTGATGTAGAGGTCGGCGTCATCATCTTCTCACCGCAGGGGATGGTGCATGAGTTTGCGAGTACCAGTTTCTCTTTCTCTACCTCGTTGGTTTATTTGATATTGCTTTGATGTTTGGTTTCTGTGGTTGATTCCGAATTTCGGACTTGGTGAATCAAAACGAGCTGCGTTCTGCATTTATAGAATTTTAGTAGTCTGGTTTTTAGATTCCTACCGACGAACATGTTCTTGTTTTGCTAGGAATCTTTTCTTTGGCCTTTGTTTTTCCTTTTTAGAAGTATTTGTTTTCTGTAATTGTTGATTCTAATTCTTTTTCCTCCCCGTAAATGTTTTCTTCGATTGAGGAACTATATTAGTAAAGTAAAGCAAACAACAATAATTTTGGATGAGAGGGGTGTACATCATCCAAATCTTAATGTGAGAAAAAGAGCTAGCTACTTGTTTATGAGAGCAGTGAAGCTACTGAAACCCAAGCTAGTGCCTTTCGTTGATACAATTCTGCAAGTATTGTTCCCGTTCCTTTTCCTTTTTTCTGGGAACCATTGACTCCATTTCCTCTGCTTTGTTGTGTGAAATTCAAACTTCTTTTATGTATACTGCGCCGGTGTAGATGATGTTATTATTTGATTGCTGGCTGAAGAATTTGACTCTATCTGATAAATAGTTTTGTTCTTATTCCTCCCCATTTATATTCCACCATCTCATAAAGTAGTACAAACAAATTAAAACTTACCATTGCCAGCTTATGGTCTAGGGCTTCAGTGAGCGGACAGTGACAGCTAGTCGGCCTTCAATTGGATTGATGTTCAAGCATGCAAGTGACTGTGTTTTTTTTTATGCTTGCAATATTTATGGGTGCAATGTTGCTCCTTTTTATTTCTGGATGGTTCAACACCCAGAACTTTTTTCTCAAAAAGAAAGAGTAGATGTTTCTAAAATTTTATTTTTGAATTCTCAGACTTTGGATATTCTCCTACAAAGACTTGTCACATTTCTAAATATCAAACCTTTGCATAATAAGGTATCAAGTGGGTCCATATGTCTACAACAACCTATTTCATTATGTATCTGATGAGGTCATCGATAGGAGATTTCGGCGCGCTTATCAGAGACGACCACGGAGATCGACGGCCGAGATTGCTAGCCTTTATTTTATTTACCTCAAATGCATGACTACCATCCTCAAAACCAGAATACATAAGATCCTTGGATGTCCAATCTGAACTTGTGTATTGAAGGAGAGCATCTTGTAAACACTGCAGTAGGATGAAATAATTGGATATGATCCCATTGATAACAAATCCATAAAAGAAGTATGAATTTCACACAACAAAGCAGAGGAAATGGAGGCAATGGTTCCCAGAAAAAAGGAAAAGGAACGGGAACAATACTTGTAGAATTGTATCAACGAAAGGCACTAGCTTGAGAGAGAGAGAGGGAGAGAGCTGAATGTTGCATTTTGCATTAATGTAAAGAAGTAAGCTAGTTACAAGTAATCACTCAAAGTAACTATATCCTATCACTTTCCTCCCTCAACAAACTCAAGAGAGTTGAGGGGAACTCCTCATTATTTACATCAATAAAAGTAAAACTATCCTGTAAAGCTAAATTGGCACAGAAGTGAGCTGGCCAATTGCTATTCTTGTTTATATACTGAAAAAGAACTTTCTTGAATCCCATAAAAAACGAGAGATCCGACCCCTCATTGCTGAAATGGACCTTATTTCTGTGATCATATATGTTCTGCAGCCACTTAGGGTGCGTTTGGGACGGCTGCAGTTGTCGGTAAAGTAGATTGTGAAATTGTTGTACAGAAAGTTGCTTCTTGAAGTTGCTTTATATAAATCATTATATTTTGTTTGGATAGCATAACTGTAGAACTGTTGTGCTGCAGCTGTATGTGAACAATTTACCTTCATACCCTTATATATATTTAGATGAAATGTATAATTTTTTTAAATTTAAATTTTTTTAAATGTATATGATAATCAACTAACAATTCTAAATCAAAATTATATCCCTTCTTAAGTCAGTACAACTTTTTTTAAATTAATTAAAGATGCCAAAAATTTTTCTTTAAAGTATTGTTGTAAAAAATAAAATTGTAACTTAAAAATATTTGTAAGCCGTACAAAAAATGAAAAAAATTAAAATTATATTTACAATTTCAAAAGCTACGTAAAAAAATTTTATCCAAGTCTTAATCTTTATGCTTTTTATAATATTTGAATAAAATAAGTTAAAACTTTTTTATTTTATTTTATTTCTACGAAGTTGCCAAATACACCTAAGAATACTTGAAAAATAATTTGAAATGTTTGCTCTACTGAAACATTTCTACATTCAAATAATTATTAATATTTAAAACCACAACAATTAAATAAATCTAAATTAAAATTTTATCATCTCAAATGAATGTTTTTGTAGTACTGTCAGAAAATGAAAATAATGGAGAAAATATATATGCAACTGAGGCGCTGAAGCTGTATTCTGTTACTACTGGAAATGCCCCTGCACACAATACCAAACCTCAAATTCAGGTCTAAATGACTTTTCAGACAAAGCTGAAGAATTATTTTCTTGCTGTTTCTCATGAGCGACGAGACCCTTGTTTTGGCTTTCCTGAATATCTGGCCGTTGCATTATGTACAGGACTGGCTTTAGAAACAGCAATAGCCCTGGGAAACTCAAGAGAGGACAAGCTTCTCTGCGTCATGACAGATAATCAAAAGGGATTTAAATTTGAGATGTCATGATAGTCAAACATTTTACATGGTATTATCCATGGTCAGAAGTCATGCATATATCAAACAAATGTAAGATTCCTCCAATAAGAACATTATCTACTTTTTTATTTCACTGAAGCAGGGTTCATCGGGGAGAAACAAGATGAAAGAAAGGTGTTGAAGATTTTATTCCTTGACAATGAGCATTAGCCAATCTATACAGAACATGCATCGGACTAGGCAATATATTGCAAAATTAAGATGATAAAACAAATGAAACCAGAGACCTCCTCACCATCAAATTTTCCTGCTATGTGAATCTTCAAAGATAAAATGGGTGACTAATGATCATTTACAAGTAGTAACTACTCCTTTGTTATGATATTCTTCAGTAACATAGGAACCTTAACTCTGAATCTATGGATTTAAAATTCCTTTATGTTTCTAATACTCAATCTTATCTGAATTCAGATAAACAGCATGAAAATAATTCTTCAGCTTTGTCGGAAAAATGATGAACCAAAAATTATATAAATATACAGGAGAAGTATTTAAATTAAAGGCAAAATAACTGGAAGAATAAACATTAAAATATGATATTTGATCCAGCCAACACCTGCACTTGAACAGAACCTAAACCAACACATTATCTATGCAGATATTTAAAGCTCTACAGGATTAATCCAAGATATCATTACTGAAGAGCACAGGGGACATAAGCAACCATGATGATATTGTGATGAATCCCACACCAATGTTGAAACAAAAAATAGTTGCACATAATGTTAAAATAGTAAGCATATGCTGAAGGACCATAAGTATTTTAAGAGTCATTCTATGTATTTCAAGACCATATATGTATCAGCATATGAATCACAAACTTAATTAAATAAAACTGAACATGCTATCAAACATAAGAAACTTCCTAATTCATCTCATCCATCAATTTATAAAAACATAGCAAAACAGTAATTACACACTCAATTTTTCAAAAGCAAAGTTCTCCAAGGATGAACCACTAAACTTTGCAATGTCATCTTCATTTTATTGCAAACCAAATCAAGCCATTCTTCTCTATCTTACTGTGCACTAAACAAAATTGATTTGATTTTACGTCATGCTGTACCAAACTTCAATTTTTTCAGAAGTCTTCTAAAATATGGCATCAAATGTGTTCTTTCAATTGTTGTAGTAAAAAATATATTATAAACTGTTCATAACAACCCAATCAAAATACAAAAGTAATGTATAAAACACATTTACTAAACTAATGTTTTTAAAGAAAAACATAAATATCCAGGAAACTATGATGTTGTATCATGATTTCCATAGCAATATCGAAGATAATTAACTCTTCGATCAGAATAAATTGACATAAAAATTTCTAGCTTTGTTGGATCCTCGAGAAGCTTTGTACTAAACAAATACAGTGGCATATCTTCAAATGCTTCAGTGGTTTCTTCAAGAACTTTAATGGCAGCAGAAAGGGATGGAGTATCAGTTACTGACTTTGATGCACTAATTCCAGAGGTAATATTTGTGCAAGAATTTACAAGCTGAGTTATTTGGCTTCTTAGAAATGTTGAACCAAATATTATTTTCCTTCTACCGGTTGACGTTGTAGATGAAGGACGTTTCAATTGGCTACAATCATTGATGCTTTCAAGATTTTGTGAAGGATCTTCAAAAGACTCAGAACCTATATCAATGTGTTCAGAATCTTCAGTATCATTTTCATTGTTTAGTCCATGGTTTGGAGTCCAAGCATGATCTCCGGTAGCAACAACACCTTGGAACATAAGATCTAGCTTATCTTCAAGCTCAGGATCAATGCCACTGTATCTAAACTTTTTTGCATTTGGCACAACCTACAAAGAAATATTCAATTTATAGAATTAGAAGGACTAACATGAAGGTTGAATTAGACTAATATATGAAACGTATAAATTTTTTATTTACCTCTAATTTTTCTTTCCACCATTCATCAGGTGCGTCAATGGTTTTCTTCTTAGGATCCCAACCAAGTCCAGTGGATCCACGCTTCAATTCTTTCCATAATTTCCAATCTTTTTTTAACTGATCCCATTTATTTTTTAACTGAACTTTATCATATTCTCTTCCAGTTTTTTCAAAAAAATTCTTAATTAAATTCGTCCAACCCTCTTTATTGAAGTGTGTAGTTGGTCGATTGCCGAGTTCAATCTCTCTTAGACATAAATCACAAAATATAATCTTCACATCTTTCTCCCATGTTGCGGAAGGCCCGCCATCCTTTGGTTTACCCATTGAATTTATTAATCGCTGTAAGTGGAAGCTTTTATTTTGAAATTTATGCTATAGTTTTCATTGATCACCAACATCTGCAGATTTTTAAATCTTCCATCAAATACTACCAGTTTGATAAAAAAGGACCAGCAGAAAAAATAAACAGAAGCCCATTGGTTAACAGAAGAGAAAAGTAGCTGAATTTTTCCTACTCCATAAACAAGTTTTAAACCTCATGTCCTTTTGTTTCTTTTATTGTCAAGAGGAATGTAGACCATCAGCAACACAAAAGCAAGTATGAATTAATGAAATTTCCACATGCTGTTTGGGCAGATGGTTGGGGTCTTATTGCTCTTCTTCTACCAAACTTTGATGTGGTAGAAGTCAAAACTTTGATGTGGTATGATATGATTTGCTTCTAATAATAAAAGTATGATGCTTGGGAGCCAAAGTTTTTGATGCTCTAGATGTAGATCCAGGCTGTACCAAGGAAAGGAAATGACAACAATAAAGATACCCATTTTCTATTTCCTAGAAGCTCATAAACAATTTTTTTCTAAATTTTAGCAAGTTTTTTTGCCATAAAAATCTGATTTGTATTATGTATACCATCAGAGAATTGCTTGTATAATCAGTGCGAGCTTGGATAAAGTGGAATTAAGGAAGTTTTGCTATATCCTTACCTCTGTAGAGTGAGGTTCTATTAGTTGACTTATATTTATGGATTGACAAGATGTAAATATGAAACATAAAAACATGTGTCTGGATCCTTATCATTATCATGTTGGAGTAAATCAATTTCGTCTTCATCACAAACTTATCACGTACTAAGGATATGATTCCCTCATCAATAAATCAATCCCATTTTTTGTGTCTTTTAGCTTTGAAATGCAACAAATTTATCAGCCCTATAGCTTTGAATGGCAATGAATTTAATAACCTTACCTAATGGCTGGCAATTTAGGTTCGTGACTGACTTCGATAACAATGAAAATTAATTTTGTTGTGTGTAATGGATGTATACATGTAGTTAATATGAAAGTTATTATACAGTCCATCTAAAAGAGGTTAAGCTAGGTGGAGAATTTCAAATTATATGAGATAAATATATGGCCGCATTTCTAGATTGCTTCATTGTGGATCAGAATTTATTATTTCTGATACATTGCATACATCTTGTGTAGAATCAGTCCTAATCAATATAAAACATTTCTCTCATAAACTAAACTTTTCATCCTAATATATGGTTTTTGATCCAGGTGACAAGTATTTACTAGAAATTTCTTTAGGAACAAAGTAATTGAGTAAGAAAAAAACTTGTATTCTGATTATGTAAGAAGATTGTGCCATATTTTTTTTTAAAAAAATTCCATGTGAAAGGGAAAAAGAATGGATACCTCACAGTGAGCGAAATCCCTTGCTTAACTTGCGATCCGACAAAAAAGAACTTGTCGAGGGTGGCGGAGACGACCGCCTAGGGCTTCGGGTATGATAGTTTAAGGAAGGAAGAAAGGCTGCCTTCACTGCAAGCAACCTTCGCCGCAAGCAAAGCTTCGCCGATCACAGTGAGCGAACTCCCTTGCTTAACTCCCGATCCGACAAACAGGAACTTGTCGAGGGTGGCGGAGACAACCGACTAAGGCGTGGGAGTTGACAGCTACAAGAAAGAAGAAAGCAAACCTTCGCCGTTCCTATCGCCGAGCGAGATGAGACGGAAGCAGAGGATTCGCCTGGTATAAAGGAAGTTTGTGAGGGAGTAAGGGCATTACCGTATTTACGATGTCTATGAATAGCGGGAAGCAGGCGAACCGCAGAAGGCTTTTACGGGTGTGAGAAGCAACCGCGGGATGCGAAATTGTCGAGAACGGAGCGCCATCGGTCCGTCCCAAACAACCTCCGTGTTGTGTTCGGTAAAGCACAGCAGCGAAACACCCGTCCCAAACGCGCCCTTAATAGCATTGATGCAATCCCCTTCTATAATGATACCATCTAAATCAAACATCCAATCCATGAGAACCTCACGGATAGCAGCTGTAGCACTTACCTCAGCTTGAAAAGCATCCCAATGCTCAAATGTTTTACCAGCAGCAACGATTAATGCTCCCTCAAAGTTCCTCACTACAATTCCAATTCCAGCCAAATTAGAAGGTTTCACTGCAGCATCAACATTAAATTTCAGCCATCCTGGAGGGGGGGGAGCACCATTGTTTATAAGATGGTAGCCCTATAGGTTGGATAGTACTCCATTGCTCCAAGATAATTGAGCAGTAAGGTTTAGGCAGCAGGGAAAGAACAGTAGCAGCTATGATAGTTGGGGGCCTACAATTCCCTTCATGTTTCAGCTCATTCCGAGCTCTCCAAACCTGATAAATAGTATAGCAATATATTCGTCCTAGGCTTGGATTGATTTCCACATTAGCATGTATCTCCTGCATTAATTCTGTTAAAGAATAAACCGAAGGCATGGCAAACCCCCACTTCCTCAAAATGTTAAGCACCTCTTTCAACTTATTACAGAGAGCTGTACAATGGTCCAGGCTTTCATCAACCTGACATCCCCACGGGCAGAGAGAGTTGGCTGATAATCCTCTATAAAAAAGCCACTGATTAGTAGGAATCGCATTCCTAAGAAGACGCCACCAAAAAAAGCCTTCCCGTGGGTGTAACTTCAATTTCCTCATCCATAAATAACTGTATTCACCTTCTCCCATCTTAGCTTTATATGCCATTGCAGTCAGTGTCATGCTCATCCGAGAATGAATAAGCTCAGGAGTATCAGTTCTGTCGTTCCCATTGGTAGCAATAGACATGATCCTCTCAACCATAACACTACCAAAACAATTTGTCACCCGCTCCTCATTCCACCTGGCAGATTCATTAAGCAACCAATTCACCCTGACATTTTCCAGCTCATTTACATTAACAAAGGTCGGCCAATTATCTATCCTCCGATCAAGTATCCAGCAGTTCTGGATCACATCAATGCTTTGGCCATCCCCAATGTTCCACCTGATGATAGTTCTAAGAGCCTTAGCACCATCATGAATCACCTTCCAAGTAGTAGAGGCTTTATAAACCTGCGTGCCATTCCAAAGCTCCATACCATATTTCCCTCTCAGCACCTTATGCAGCAGTAAATTTGGATTACTAATCACTTGCCACGCCAGCCTAGCACGCAGAGCTCCCTGCCAATTATCCAACCCATGAAATCCAAGACCCCCATGGTCCCTGGGTTGGCATAACTCCTTCCATTCAACATAATGCATTCCCCTACTGTTAGAGTCCTGCCATAAAAAAGTTCTGCCAAGTTTCTCAATAGATTGGGGAATGCATTATGTTGAATGGAAGGAGTTAGCTGGCACAAAGGCCCCTTGCTCCTCACTGACAATGATGCCCAGCACTGGTTTGAGTCTATTAATCAAAATCTTTGCCACAACCTTATAAAAGGATTGACAAAGGCTAATTGGTCGAAACTTAGCTGGCACAAATGCATTTTCAACCTTTCGTATAAGAACCACTAAAGTATCCTTCCAAATTTCACACATAGAGTTAGTGCAAAAGAAATGAATAATAGAACGAGTCACCTCACATTTAACAATTTCCCAAAAAAAATTTAGGAAGGAAGATGTAATACCATCCATACCCGGTGCACGATTGTTCCCCATGCTGAAGACAGCTTGTCGAACCTCCTGCTCCGTGATTTCAGCCTCCAGAATCTCATTCACCTGATAAGGAATCTTGTCTTCACTGTGAAAGATTGGCCAATTATCACACACAATCTGTCTCTCTTCCCATTTGAGCATAAAAAACTTCATGAACTCTTCCTGTATAAGAGCTGGATCACCACTCCTATCTCCATTCGGCTTCTGGACCTCTAGAATTCTGTTCCCCCTCCTACATGCCAAGGCAAAGGAATGAAAGAAATGAGAATTGGCATCTCCCTCCTCAATCCATCTCGCCTTCGCTCTCTGTCTCCACCAAGTTGTAATGCGGGCTAATATGGTATTCAATTCAGAAGCCTTTCTCCTCATTTCCTGCTCCTGTGCTTCATTTAATCCAGCATTTGAGCATTCAAGTTCCTGAAGTTCTCCCAATCTTGCCTCCAACGAGTTTTTCAAATTCCCCAGCTCCTTTAACCGGTTTTTGCTCGAGAAAAACAAAGCTCTAAGTGTTCTGGAACACTTCCGATTTAGCACATCAGCTGGCTGTCCATAATCGGTTTTGTTCCATTCCTTCCATACCAGCTTCCAAGTAGCTGGATAAGACATCCAAATATCTTCAAATCTATACCATCTACTCCCAGATTTTGGAGGATTAGACGTCAGATTCAGCAATAATGGACAATGATCAGAAGAAATTCTCAACAAATGCTTAACCGTGGCCAATGGGGCAAGTCTAAGGCCTTCAGAGTTCATTAAAACTCTGTCTAGTCTAACCCATATCTTACTGTTGCTAGTTTTATTATTAGTCCATGTAAACTTAGGACCCATAAATCCCAAGTCATGTAAATCATTTTCAACAAGGAAGGCTGTCATTTCCTGAGCACCCACCGAATAGCTATACTTTCCACCTCCCTTCTTCTCACTTTGATCAAGGCAACAATTGAAATCTCCACCAACAATCATTGGTAACTCAGCATCAATGCTAGCACCAATGGTATTCCATAACATCCTGCGACTATGGTAGCTCTTGCTGGCATAGACAAGCACAATTCCCCACTTCTGAAGATTGGGCATCACCAAATGGCCAACAATAGCTTGGTTCATAGTCGAAACAACCTCAAAATGAGTAGTATCCCATCTCCACATCACCAACAGTCCACCAGATCTTCCCTTAGCTGGATAGTGAAAAAACTCCCAGTTGGGACCAATGAGTCTATCAACATCTGACCTGGAAATGTCTTCTATCATAGTTTCAACTAAGCCAACAAACATCACCTCATTATTACCAATGAGGCTACGCAGGTAATACCCAGTCTGCTTCTTCTGGGCACCCCTGCAGTTCCAAATTAGAATGTCAGGCATTAAATAACAAAGGGGAAGCGTCCCCGCCGCTAATGTCTGCACAGTCATGCTCTCCCAGCATCTCCTTGTTCCTTTTCCTAGGCGCCTCCACCATAGGTCCCAATTTATTAAGCTCCTTTAGAGCATTGACTCTGTTAGCCATTCTTATACCAGCCATAAACGGCAGCCTCTGCTTGAACCCCATCCTACTCTGCTTATGAGTAGGCTTCAACTTACTATCTGGCACTTGAACTTTATTTAAGTCCACTTGCTTTGGAATGTTGAAATTCTGTTTGCTGCTTACATTCTCCTTATTCTTGCCCTGTGCTCGTGTCGTTCTTCTTCTCCGTGGGGGAACTTGAATCCAAGGACCCGTATGATCCTCAAAATCCTGTGATCCTTCCTCTATGCCAACTTTGCCCCCAATACATTCATCATGTGCTTCAGCATTCCCCCCCTTCTCACGGCTTTCAACAGCTTTTCCTTTGCCACCATCATCTGTTTTAACAATATGTAAAACCATTTTCTTAGTTTGTATGGGATCCAAATTCCCATTCTTACTCAAATTCTGGGCAGAACTACCATCTCCCTTGCCACCCTGCTTCGAATGTTCCTCTACTCTTCTGGCCTCATTCCCCCCTTGTCCAACAGCTCTAGATGGACATAACTCCTTCCGATGCCCCACCTTTCCACATCCATAGCACAATATCCCAATGCCTTCATATTCTACCTTTTGGTAGAACCTCCCGTTCATACCATTAATCCAAATTCCAGATTGCAATTTCCTGTCCAAACACATTCGGACACACACCCGGGCATATTCCCTTCTACCCCAATTTCCCATCTGCGCATCGATCCAGAGCGGCACTCCGATCTTCGACGCAATCCTGGCAATATTACAATCATC